ATGAGTGGCAGTCAACCTGGGTGCTGTCCAGAGACTGCCATAGTGCACCATTTTCGTATTCTGAGCGCAATAGCTCTCGAGTCGATGCTTCGACACCAATGCAATGACATGCGGTCTCAGCTTGTTGCTCATAACATATGACTCATGAAGAATCTCGTCACCACAATCGCTTGTGTGCTTGTTGTCCGACGGAACGTCTCAAAACACTTTTTCTACACAAAAACGAGCTCTCCATCAACACAAAGCTATGCTTAGCAGCTTGACATCTGCTATGCGCATCCCAGCTCCATACTGTCATTTGTGGCATATAACGTGTGAGAGAAAGACACATCGCTTGTTGCGACTTACAAGACTCTCCAGCCACCACGTATGTGAATATCCAGTTCGATGACTCCATGGGACACCCAAGCAAGTCGGTCTGCGACAATGAGATAGACCAAGGCTTGTCCTATACATGAGACATATTCCCTGCTGCAGCAGGCAGAAACCATGTCAACGGACAATAAAAGTCAGGCTGATCGCTGCGCCTCCCGTGGCCCATCTCCGAGACCGCAACCGTTGTCTTCCTACAGTGCTATCCTAGACAGATGGACTACGGTTCCCCGGATCAGATCTGACGGTGTTTTCTTTGGACGTGCCCCAAACCATCGCGCCCTTTCTCATCGCGAGCGCCTCATGCCCGATTTACTCCTTTCGACTCTCAACGGAGATCTTCTTCTTCCGCCACCTTCGAAACCCCGGCGTGCCTTCAGAGGGCGTGTCCATGCTGCCACACGACACAGCTGGGTGATGTACCTCTTACCCCGACACCAGCTTCTCGTGACCAACAATCCGGCCTTGCATCAGCAACTAGGCCAGATAGAGTCGAAGATCGAGAGTTGGTTGCGATGCTCGAGATACGGGCACGGAGACGCAGCCAACTGTGGATCTGCTTCGGGAGTTGCTCCCTGCAAGCGAAGCATTGTGAGTGTATACGTGCTGCGGCAAGGACTCCAGGAACGACAACGAACAGGAAAACGTACACACTTCCTCAGTAGTGTACGTCAAAGGCCGCGAGTGTCGTCGTTGTAACATTGAGTTCTGTCACACGTCGCATGTCGGAATCACATGGTTGGGAACTGGGCTTGATGCGTAGCTTCTTTATCAGATTGCAGATAGTAGCGTAATCCTGTGACTCCACCAAGATATCGGCCTTCTGTGACTGGAAAAAGCTCAAGACAGACTCCAGTGCGCGTGCAGCTTCTTCTTGGGGTAGGCTGGTGGCCGGCGAGTCGGCGAATGACTCCCTGCCACCAGTCTGACTGATACTGGGCAGCGCTGGGGGCTGCATCGAGTTGGGAACTTGAGTCGACGAGGGCAACATCGATTCGCCGATGTTCGGGAGCGTGCTAGCTATCTCGGTCGTGCTTGTAGGCGACAAACGGCTAGGAGATGCAGATGAGACGGCCTTTGGCGAGTGCACATTCGATGGCGGACAGGAAGCTCCTTCCGACTGTTCTGCCCCTACACCCATAATATGGTTCTTTTGCTTGAACTTCTCTAGCCACCTCGTACCGTTTATCTCTCGAAGGCTCTTCTGACTACCAACAGCCTGGGCAAAGAAGCGTGCCTTTTCTCGGATAACAGCATCCGATAATAGTAGTCCCTGTTCTTGGTGTTTCTTTGCCCAGTTTGACAATGTACGTTCGATACCTCCAAGCTTGCTTGCTGACCGTTCATCACCCCAGTACATGTACCTCTCCTTCTGGCGCAAGATTTTAGAAACGGTACTACTGAACAGTCAGCGTGGTAAGAGACAGAGCACAGGCCGTGGTACCTTCGCTCTACACCGAATATGTCTGGGGCGGTGTCAGTAAATGATATGATCATGCATATCCACCATGCTGGCATACTTGCAATGTATGTTTGGCTGGCTGTGGGATTCTTTTCGTGGTATCTGCAAATGCGTTCGCGGTCCGAATCGGTCAGGGCATTTCGTGGTTCTGATGAAGTGCGCCAGTCGAACGAGATTACTGATACCGGCGTTGTGGGTGGTAGAGACGAGGAACATAGTGAAGCTTGATAAGTCGACTGGCTGGTTAGCATGCTCGGCCATTGCGGCACCTGTGGCATGATCCAGGGCTGTAGCTGTAGAGTTGTAGTTCCCAATGTCGGATGTGTTGGGAAGGGTGAGTGCATGCCAGTTTCTTGGATGGGATCTGCTGTGCGTGAAGCATAGCCGTTGAAGCCATTGTAGTCTTGGACTCGATACTGGTACTGTGGGCTATATCCGCTGTTCCAATACCAATCTAGGTCATGACCCTCAAGAGGCCGCTGGTTGTGAGGATTTCTGTAATTCAACTGCAATTCGCCCATACCGAAAGGCGGGTAACGTATCGATGTGGTGCGTTCGCGCAAGAGTTGGGCCAGCAAGCGTGCTGGGTAAAGCGTAAGGGGGGCGACAAAAGAGCATATGCTTCTGCAACATGGATCTCTATAAATGAATGAAACAGCACGAGACACTCGGAACGGTGGGCTTGCACCAGGTCTTAGAGGGCATAGTCGGAAGGCGCTGCTCTAAAAAACCGCTGCTTTGACTTTCCGTTCCCCGCTCTAGATGTTCGCCTGGCAAGCGACGGTTGTGGTCGTTAGAAGAGTACACGCTACCTAGGCCTGATCTCCAGCTTGTTCTACCTCGCCGTCTTGTGGCAGGAACGCTGCCCCGAGGCGACTTCGCACGGATGGCTGGCATTAGGTGCCTGGAACAAGGCGCCATACATCGTGAGCACACTTGTGTCGTCAGAGCAACCCCACATAGTCCAAAATCGCTCGTCGGCGGTAAAGCGTAGGCCTTGGTCCATCGGCAGTGACCGACCAGTGTCTGTGCATGCTGATTTGTTGTCCTTACTCTGTCGCCACGCGTACAAGTGGGCTTCTTGCCATCCCAGTTTCAACAAAGCATCTAGAGAATACCATCACGACTCGGACAGCGGTAGCGCATCTCGGTTCCAGGTGTTGAGTGAAAAAGCCAAGGTAAATGGCTCGGCTGTCAACTTGCGACGGAGCGACCTAGCGCGCGTCATCCGCCTCCCACTGGCTTAGTGGG